GGTTGCAGGCCTGGGCATTAGAGGGCAATGCCCAGGTTAACTTTTTGACCAATAATTATATTCATGAGTCTGGTGTGGGCATCTAGTGTAAACTGTGGTAGTTCAACAGGCTTCTTTGTTGTTTTATGCTAAGAAATAATCTCAATGAAGTTATAGATCAGTATTGTCCATTTTCCTTGCAAAATTGTATGGAACCACACCCACTAATTATTGATGCCCAAGTCAAACCAAATTTCTGCAACCGCCCATGTACGGAAGACTGTACTGAAGTGGAAGAAAGTCTTATTACAGGAGTTAGTGATCCTATGGAGCAATTAGCGGCAGCTTTGGCAAGTTTAGCAAAGCTTCAGGAGGAGCAGCAACGTCGTTGGGAGGAGGCCCAGAGACAAGCTGAAGAACGTCGTCAGGAAGAGGAGCGACGAAGAGAGGAGGCTCAGAGACAAGCTGAAGAACGTCGTCAGGAAGAGGAGCGACGAAGAGAGGAGGCTCAGAGACAAGCTGAAGAACGTCGTCGAGAAGAGGAGCGACAACGAGAGGAGCAAGCTGAAGAACGTCGTCGAGAAGAGGAGCGACAAAGAGAGAGACATTATGAAGAGATACAGGCCATGCAGGAGCAGCATATGCAGCAGATAGAGATTATGAAAGGAGTTCTAGCAGAAAGAGAAGGGAATAGTCCTCATTTAAAAATATCACCATATCAAGAAACAGAGGATATCCAAGACTTCATTGAAGCATTCGAAGGTATTATGAAGATACAAGGGGTGAATCGGACAAATTGGATTCTACGTCTGACACCGTTACTAAGTGGCAAGGCTAGAACTGTTTGTACTGATCTGGGAACTACTACTGATTATGATGGAGTCAAGAAAGCTATTTTGGAGCATTATAACATCAACACAGAGAGATGTAGAAGAAAGTTCAGGAGTCATGTTTGGACAAGAGATCAAGACCCAACTGATTGGATAGCTAGAGGAGTCAAACTGGTGAAGAGATGGTTAGTACCAGAGAATGGAATGGAACAGGTAGTTAACAAGATTGCAGTAGAGCAGCTTTTAAATGGGTTACCACATAAGATGAGAATCTGGGTAACTTCTCAGAACCCAGAGACACCAGAGAAAGTTGGAGAGCTTATTGAATCTTATAATACAGCTCATAGTTGTTTACCACAGAGGAATAGACCAAAAAAAAAACATGGTCGGTCAAAGGAGTTCCCAAGGAAGACTGAAGGATCTACTGGAAACAAGAAGGAGAGAAAGTCACCTTCAGAGATTACCTGTTACAAGTGTAATCGCAAGGGGCATATAGCAAGAAATTGTACGGAGAAAACTCTACGAGCCAAAGAGAATGCAGAGGAAGTCATTTGGCATGGAGAAGGCAACATCAATGGACACAATGTGAAGCGAATTCAGATAGACAGCGGAGCATCAAGGACTGTGGTTGATAGGAAGTTTGTAGCATTGAAAGACATAGAGAAGGAGACGATTG